TTGTGTATTGATATGTATTCAACATTTATACTTGTCGAGGAATCAACGTTCCCTGATAAAAGGATTGAATTCGAGTGATTAAAGTCTGAGCAAAAGTTGAATTCTATTAGAATTCTATCTGTGTACTGATACATATTCAACATCTATACTTGTCAAGGAATCAACGTTCCCTGATAAAAGGATTGAATTCGAGTGATTAAAATCTGAGAAAAAGTTGAATTCTATTAGAACTCGTTTGACATTATCTGTTTGTGTATTGATATGTATTCAACATTTATACTTGTCGAGGAATCAACGTTCCCTGATAAAAGGATTGAATTCGAGTGATTAAAGTCTGAGCAAAAGTTGAATTCTGTTAGAATTCTATCTGTGTATTGATACGTATTCAACATCTATATTTGTCGAGGATTAAAGTCGAGCAAAAGTTGAATTCTATTAGAATTCTATCTGTGTATTGATACGTATTCAACATCTATACTTGTCGAGGAATCAACGTTCCCTGATAAAAGGATTGAATTCAAGTGATTAAAGTCTGAGCAAAAGTTGAATTCTATTAGAATTCTATTTGTATATTGATATGTATTCAACATCTATACTATCTATACTTGTCGAGGAATTAACGTTCCCTAATAAAAGGGTTGAATTTGAGTGATTTTCCATTAAAATCTGAACAAAATGTTGAATTCTATTAGAATTCGTTTGACTATATATCTGTATATTGTGTATTGATACGTATTCAACATTTATATTTGAAGAGGAATCAACGTTCCCTGGTAAAAGGATTGAATTCGAGTGATTAAAGTCAGAGCAAAAGTTGAATTCTATTAGAATTCTATTATGTGTATATTTATATATATTCAACATCTATACTATCTATACTTATGGAGGAATCAATGTTCCCTGATAAAAGAATTGAATGCAAGTGATTAAAGTCTGAGCAAAAGTTGAATTCTATTAGAATTTTATCTGTATATTGATATGTATTCAACATCTATACTATCTATACTTGTCGAGGAATTAACGTTCCCTAATAAAAGGATTGAATTTGAGTGATTAAAGTCTGAGCAAAAGTTCTATTAGAATTCGTTTGACTATCTATCTGTGTATACATATTCAACATTTATGAGTATATTATACTTGTCAAGGAATCAACGTTCCCTGATAAGAAGACAAAATTTGAGTGATTTTCCATTAAAATCTGAACAAAATGTTAAATTCTATTAGAATTCGTTTGACTATATATCTGTATATTGTGTATTGATACGTATTCAACATCTATACTTGAAGAGGAATCAATGTTCCCTGGTAAAAGAATTGAATTTGAGTGATTAAAATCTGATTAAAAAGTTGAATTCTATTAGAATTCGTTTGACTATCTATCTGTGTATATATATTCAACATTTATGAGTATATTATACTTGTCAAGGAATCAACGTTCTCTGGTAAAAGGACCGAACGATTGTGACCGTGTAACTCCGACCAAAAGATTCGATTCTATTAGAATTCGTACGTTTAGCAATCTATATGTGTATTGATAGGTATTCAACGTTGATATGAGTGTATTACATTTGTCATGTGTGAAGAATCAACGTTCCCTGATAAGAGGATCGAATTCGAGTGATTTTCCATTAAAGTCTGATCAAAAGATTGAATTCTATTAGAATTTTATCTGTG